GGAAAGAAAATGCAAAAAGCATGTGTTTGTTTCTGTTTTCAAGGGAAAAAATATCAACGGAAAAAAAAAGTAAAAAAAGGACGGTAACATTAATTGGTCTCACACGCTCAACAGCACATATATGACTCAGAGGAGCTGAAAGAACATCTGATAACGGAGCAGTCTTTAGAGGGAGTTTACACTACATGGAGAGTTCTACATCTCTGCTGAGAATCAGGGAGGTGAGAAGTTCGGTAGGCTGTGTTTCCGCATGAAATAGGGGCAGAGAACTCTTTTCAAAGCCATTTTCCTGCAGCATGTTCATTTATTTTGGTTATATTTACTTCCAGCTTCACAGAAAGCTTTTTTCTTCCCCCTTGCCTGTGAGCTACTTCTTCTTGAGGGAGAGCTAATCTATCTCCTGTGAGCTATAGACCACTATCCTTCTGGTATGACCCTCAGGACAAGCATCTGGAAAACAAGGTCTTGTAGTGCAATGAAACCGCAAGTAAACAGCTGGCGTGGATCCTGGCAAACGAGTACAGAGTCATATGGCTTTTCTACTCTTCAGCCATTCAGGCAGGAAGCAGCCTTCTCAGCCATAAGAAAAACATGACAGAAAGCAAGCAGTCTGCTGGGTTACCAGCAGGAAAGCTGTAATAACATTACTTAACATTAATTAGTTTACATTTGTGTCGCGGTCTGCAAGCCCAGAGACCATCCATAACTAAAAATGGCATTATGTTGTGAGCTATGATTATGCTTGCTGAGCTTGTACTTGCTCTACATATACAAAAAGCGATTCTCCTGGTATACCATGTACTTAAAAAAGCAGAGAGCAAAGCTCTGTTGTAATTTTTTTTTTCTCAGCATCACCATGACTTTGGCTTGCACAAAGCAAACATTGCTGTCTGTCAGCTGTGACTCTTAGGAATTTTATGCATTGAAGATGGTAGTGAAAGATTGGGGAAAATGCAGTTTTGCATATTAATTTTTCAAGAAACAAAGGCACTGAATCACCTGAGTTAAAAAGTCAAACGAGTTCCTGTAAGTACTTTTTTGAAAACTCACAGACAAAATCTGTGTAACTTCTTTCTTGTAAATCACTTCTATCTCTGCTGGTATGTATCACAGATGTTACTTTTTCTTCATGTGTCAAGGTTATTTCTTTAATTCCAAGCAAGAGAGGGGAGGGAACAATGTTTGATTTTCTAAGGCTGGCCAAAAGATAATGTAGAAATTATTCTTTAAAAGTTCAAAGAAAATAACATAAATTAATCTGCCCATTGCCAGGTATCCTTGGATAACTATGTTGCAGACAGTAAAACAATAAACATTGCTTACTCAGAAAAAAAAATCACACTTAAATGCAAAACTTCTCTCTGCATCTTCTAAAGATGCACATTTCCCAGATTCCGATCTATTTCATACTACTCCATGTTAGCCAGGAATAAAGCATTCAAAGTTAGTTCTATCAACATGTATATTTCTGTTTTTAAACAGTATTAAATCCCATCTTTGAACTTGACATTCAGTTTCTGTGATGAACTAGTTACTGTTCTAGCAAGGACAAAGACTGCATGGAAGAAAACAAAGTAAATCAAACAGAATGCCTCTCCCTCCTTTCCCAGCATCTCTGGATTCCTTCCCACTCCTTGTATAGGTTGTGTATGGCCCCCTGGTTCAATGGATAACCCCCAAAACCATGTGTTTTCTTTTGCTATCCACACTAGTTGCAGAGGCAAATAATAGTGCTGAGGGTTTCTGAAACTGTTTAAGAGGAAGGTTTCTATGGATGACAGCTTGTTCTCATGCACCTTACACAACACAGGTCATCCTGGAAAACAATTATTTCCAACCCAGCACCCTTGGTCCAACACTATTTCAGGATTAATATATTCAGCTGACACTGATTCTACTATTCCACATCTCTGATGCACACATGCCATTTCTGCTTTCATGAATGTAATGGGAAAGGTGAAAAGCCCTACCTTTGGCTGGGTAGCATGCCCACCTCAGCCTGAGGTGCAGACATGCTGGAGAGATGGCTGGAGAACCGCCTCCTCCCGATGGCACCCGTAAGGTATGCTTCTTGTTCACTTACCACACTGGGCATGCTCAAGGAGTCATCTAGAAAGAAAAAACAGGAAAGCAGAGGAAACAACTGCCCCAAACCCCACCTACATATTTACAGTTGTCAAGAGTTAACAGGATGCCAAATGTGTACCTGGCATTTACTTAACAAGACCCCAAGCTTGCAAATTTGAATACTTCCATTAGATTTTACAGTCACAGTTCAGAAAGACATAAAATGCTGCAGGATGAGGAACCCAGCACACATGGGGCAGGGATTTATGTATGCTTTCAGCTTATATAGCTCTTGGGAAAATATGTATGGGGAATTCAGCTTCCACTAGGGCTTAATTCTTGTAATTAATAAATTGTTTGTTAATATACAGTGTTTTCTGGCATGAAAGTTGTAACTGGACATTTTGCTGGTGTGAAATAAACTGCTGCTATGATATAGCAAAGCACTGTTACAAAACATAAAATACATAACAGCAAAATGTAGAACTGACACCCTTTAACATCCTTTGGGACATGAATTTTAAAATGTCACCAAAAAATTGGATAAGTTGACTCAAATACATCATACTGCAACTAAATTATGCAGACAGTTGGACTGTGATCAGGACTGTTTGAAATTTTCAGTGCTGTTTGAAATTATATAAACTACCTGGAAAGAAATTACTCTTGTGATTTTTACCACAACAACTTCTAATTACAAACAAACAAATAAAGGGGAAGTTTTGCATATTTTCTGTTCTCTTTATGACTTTTTCTAATTCTGATACACTGAAATATTTTATGACAGCATTAAGCCAAGGTGGGGCTGAGGTAATACTGACGCAAGCAAATAGGAAGATAGCACTCATCGTTCCACATGGTGGCTCAAAATTAGAGTAAGGCTAAAACCAGAGTTTGCCACAGTGAGTATCTGAGCAATGTATCAGCAGTACAATGCTGCGTGGATTGTACAGTGTTTAGTGATGAACCCAACTAAAATAAAGCTGGGCTGAGCCTGGAAATTTTCAGTCTAACTGTTCTTTCCAAAAGGAAGTTCTGCTGTAGCTGCACAGGTCTTTCTTTTGAGCCACCCATTTTCGCTCCTTTTGTTTAGTGTCTTTGGGGAATAGTCAGCAGTCCTCAAATACAGAAGTGAAACGCCAGAGTTTCAGGCATTGAGGCAACCAACCACTGCCGTAGCAGACAATATCCCTGTCTGAAGCAGGGGGAAGCCCAAGCCTGATGACATGCAAGCGGACTTTTCTACCCTGGCTTTCAGTGATGGACAATTCAGAAGCAGAGAGAAGGCAAAATCCCAAGAATAACATGAAACTCAGCTGAAATGACAAAGCAACATTCAGGTCATTGCAAGTTAGTCCCCAAAAGATTCATTATCCCATTCCTTCTAAACTGGCACCAGAAAGCCTGGCAACCCCAGAGCCTGCCAGCTGCCCAGAAGGGAGATCAAGATTTTGTTGTCTGTAGGTTTAAGGCTTAATTTCCTCTTTGTTAATGAGTGATACAAGCACACAGACATTCCACCCTGCAAAGAACCACAGCTGGATCCCATGCAGCACAAGGACAACATACTCCACATCAGAGCATCTGGACAGAAGTGATGAGTAGGAAGTACTAAGATCCTGCAGGAAGAGGAGTCTAACTACAGAGCCAGCCACAGCCCCTGCCTACTGTCATGATGAAGGTCAAAGAGAGAACTGATTGCCAAATGCCTTGTCAGCACTGTGAGGACTGCATGTCAGCCCAGGTCTCATATACTAAAAATCCAACAGTTCCCTTCCCTTTTCCCTACCCAGAACTCAGGAGGGAATGAGGAGGTACGTAAGGACCCAAGCTTTAATACCATGAACTGTGTAGCAACCACACCGGTTTTTCAGCCTTGTGCCTCTATGGGGTTTTTGTTCACACGGGGGCAGGGACAATTGTCTTCCCCTCCCAGCCATCCTCTGGGGCATCAAGAAAACATCTTCAGTGTTGGGGGCTTAGCTCAAATCAGTTGCCACGTACTTTCTTCATCCTCCTCATCTGTGCGGCTCAGTGTGTCCTGCGAGGCCTGCTGGGAAGGCTCACTGTCCTGCTCCCAGACCGTGCCAGTGCCGGTGTTGGAGCGGGACATGGTGGCCAGGCTCAGGCGGTAAGCAGAGGTGGAGGTGCCCACGGTGCTGACAGATGTCTTCCCTTGGTAAGCTGCACAAGAGTGGGAAAACCAAACCCAAGTCAGTGATAGCATGGGAAATCAATAACCAGCCAAGCATTTCTGTCATGTTGGACACCTGATTCTGCCCAGACTAGTGGGGCAGGGCTGGCAGAGGTGATAAAACAGCCACCTCTCCAAAATCTCTGTCTGTTTTTCTTATGCAGTCTGGTTTTCTCCCTCAGCCTCAGTGCCAAATTTTCCAGATCAGCTTCAACATTTAGGATCAAGTCAAATTATTCCCAAGGAAAAAAGGGCTGAGGCATTTTCTTTTGAATTTGTTTTCCTTTCTGAAGAACAAAGCACATAAAATCTCTTGCCTTGTGTAAGCAGTGGCTGCCATCTCGTGGCAATATGGGTGACTGTTACAGGAGAAAAGTGTCCCCTCATGCGAGAGAATCAATACAGTACACCTCGAGCTCGGGGATGCTGATCTGGACCTCGCTAGTACCAGCAGAGAAAATCAGAACGAAACCAAGAGGAGAAAGGATGAGACAGGTCTGCTGCTGACAAACAGACAGACGTTTCTACACAAGCAGTTTCAGATTTACAGAGATGTAGGTAGCGGCTTGCTGTGTTGTGGGTTGGGGCTGCACAAGTCAGCTGTGACATCGAGAGGCGGCTGCTGGGAAATGGAACACAGACTTAGTGGAATAAATGAGCATGATAAGCTGCATTTCACAACTAACCTGGACTTCTGGTGGCCATCCAGTGGCAAGGCTGGGGTGGGCATAGGCCCTGATCCAGGGGCAGGCTGTCGGGGTGCAGGTGGATTATCCCATCCCCCTCCTAGGCAGCAGACAGGTCTGCCTCGCAAGTTAATTTACGTGTGAGACGGCAGGACAGATGGGGCTGATGGCCCTGAGCTCTCCCCGCTCCTCCTTACCAGACCCGCTGTGCACTGCCTCCTTCAGGATCTTCAGCTCGTTATTGAACTCAGCGATGAGGGAGCTCTTGCAGAGCGGGCGCGGTATGAACCGTCTCTCCAGCTGGTCAGCAATGTGCTGTCGGGCAGTCAGCTCCTCATGGTTCTCAGCCGCCTGGGCCAGCAGCTGCAAAATTGGGAAACATTAGCATTGCAGGGAAATGATGCCCAGGGAACAGGGACTGGTCTCCATGAGCCTGCAGCCAGCAGACTGCCCTCTTTGTAGGCATGAAGTTTTGACTCCAGCTATGAGGTTTCCACCTGTCTTTCAAGGACAACCTTATGTTTGACTGAACAGATATCAGAATCTCACTGTTTTTGGTACATGGGGATGAGGGCTTCATTATGCTAAGCTCTACCCTCAGATATGAGACAGCTCCTTCCTCCAAGATAATTTAGTCTGTCCAAGTGGTGAGACATGGCAGCCTAAATAAGGTGGAGTACCATGTACTAGTCTACCTGGTAAGCAGGGAAGAGCTGTGATTAGCTTAAGCCCTGGCTGCCTCAGCCTAGCAGCTGTCTGACCATCTGCAAGTGCATTGTCAGAATCTTCCCCCACAAAATGTAAAATGGAGTGGTCCTTCCTTACTGTTAGCTGTATTACACAGCTCTGTGCAGAAGAGAGACTTCTTGAAGATTTCTGCCAATCATGCCAACCCCCTCCTAGGTTCAGAGTGTCCACACCACTTCCAGGTGCTTTGAATATCTTTGTTGCAAAACTAAATCCATGTGCAAATCCTCTTTGTTGAGCTTGATAGTACTTTCCCACCCAGGGGAACTAAGACTAGCTATACTCCGTGGCTTTGTGGATAAGAGTTCCTGTATGATTGGCATACTGTTTAGTGTTGTCTTGGAAAAAGCTGTGTGATTTAGTTTCAAAGGGTTTCCAGGCCTACTAACTTCTTAAAAGTCACTCCCTACATAAAAAAACAGTTCTTCCAGGTGTGCCGTTTCTCTGTTCTTAGCAGGGGAATAAAGGATATCTTGCCCTCAGCAAGTGATCTAGCAAGAGCCAAAGCAACTGTTACCTTGCACTGGATGAAGGGCCGAAGGAGCACAAAGATAGGGATCCGTGTTCGTACGATAAAGTCGAAGAAATCCCACAGGGCCAGCCCTCCCACCTTCCGCAGTGCCATCTCTTTGACTTGCAGGCTCAGCCAGTACCACTGGCTGTCCAGTTGGCGTTCAAAGCAAACAAGGATCACCTTCAGGGCTACAGGGGAACACACACCAGCAAATGGCAGTCAGATGTGTCAGCAGTGTCCATTGCAAGCCCTGAGTGAGGAATGAGGCAGGCGGCACAGTGGGCACAAGCCTACACAGGCATGCATGCATGCACATGCACATGCACATCAACACACCTCAGAGTCACAACTGGCTTTTCTATCAGTCTCCAAACGTGGCAGGGAAGGAGGGTAATCTTCTTATAAAACAGCTCTCCGGATCAGGACTGAGAGTCCCATTTCCAGAGAAATTTTCCTACCTCACACCTAAGTTCCTCTCTACCTTCTTGCTCTAGCTTCCCCTCTCCTTCCCTGCAGAGTTCTTTTGTCTTCCTGGTATTCAGATATTTTGAAAGCAGCTCAGGGGGGAAATACAACCCTGGCTGATAAGACAACCTTGAAAATCCTGATCAAGCAAGTCACCTTGTGAGCACAATAACCTCCAGGTTATTTATGGGGTAATGAAAAAAATCTTTCTAGCAGTGCAGCTGCATGACTCATGGCCAAACTGTGATCTAAACAAAAATACGGTCCAGTAAGCCAAGGGCCATAATTCACAAGAGCACTGCATTACAAATGGGAATGAACAGTGATGAAGTTCGAAACAATGCTCTGTATTAAAGTGGACAGTGACCAGCAGTTAGCTCACAGGAGAAACAAGGAATCTCCTCTTTCCACGCTCCCCTGGTCTGGAACAAGGAGGGAGGCCTGGGAATTGTTGGGGGAAGGTTGACTACTCCATCTTTCTTGATGGGATGGCAAAGACATCTTAACCATCACACATCTGTATCCAGGTTTGTTGGGCTGGGGACTAAGTTAGTGGTGAACTGTCATTTTTTTCATCAGTGTTACCCCATTCCTCAAATATGGGTTAACAAAACCTGAATATAAGTCTTCGGATAAATGCCCGCACAAAATCAGAAACAGAGAAGCTGTCTGAAAGAGTGACAGCTTTGAGACAAAACTCTCCCCATATGGCTCCGATAACGTGCAGTGCTGCTGCATCTCCAGTTTGATTATTTTTTTCTTTCCTTTCACCTGTGGGTCATATGTGAGAAAATATAGTACTCCCTTGCAGCAGCATACAGTGAGCAGAGGGAATACCAGTCAGTAAGGACCATGTGTATGCAGGGCCAGCAGGCAGGCAGATTGCATCACACTTCAGCCTAGCTAGCCAAGGGCCAGTGAAGCTGTGATATTAGGGGCTGATACGCAGTCTAATTTGCCTTTTGTGTCTTCACTGCTATATTCTGGTAGTATGAAAACTGAGCAACTTCTACCTGTGCTGCAATCTCCTCTAGCTGCAGTGCAGACACTGCTCATGTTGCAATACATTCCAGAGATACTCCTGGCTTCACAGTCTGGCTTGGCCCCTTGTTCAGGACAAGACCTAAAGCAGCTCTAAAGAGCTCAGTTATCTCCCACCTGAGACAGTTTTCTTTGGCGCTGTCTATAGTCTTGAATGCTCCATTTTATCTCTCTCTCTTCTCAGTGGTCAGCAGAAGCCATCACTCACCCAGGTAGGCAGCCTGGCTGGTGGACTCTGCGAGTCCTTCCCGCCGCAGGTCCTTCCCCGCATCCCCTGGGGTGGAGCAGTGGGCAGGGGAGCTCTCCAGCATAAAATTCTTGCTGCGGGAAGTGCTGATGATGCGAGGTGGCAGGAGGATATTGATAACAGTCTGGAGCAGCAGCAGGACCTCAGGCTGCTCCAGCCAGGGGCTGTCTGAGACACATTGGAAGGGGAGAGAGAGAGAAAGATCAGGCTACATCCTGTCAAAGACACCCAAAAGAACCAGACCCTGTTCAGTTCGAAAACTGAGGTGTAATCTCAAATGTCCCCTAAGCCAAAACTCCGTCCCCCACACCTCGTTATGCTGCTTCTCCTCCTGCAAGCAAAGGAAAAGTGTATTTTAGCACTAACACAAACAGACACGAACACAGAGCTACAGAGCACAAAGAAATGTCCCATTCAGTGGTCTCATGATCTCATTTCCTTTAGACATTCTCCTCCCCCTTTACTCTTTGCTTTCGTTTAGGGATTTACCAGTGATCACCCTCTATAGAAGAAAGCAAGGAGCAGGACTTGTGCCAGAGAAGTGGCATGGATTGGGCAGACTGTGATCCACAGGGGCACACAACTTCTGTGACCTCTGCTACCCTCTATGGCTTCTACTATAACAGATTTGTCTTGCCCTGCACTCCAGTTTCAAAAGAAGGAGCACACCTGTGTAAGACCTGACTCAAGAACCACGGCACAGCTGAAACAAAGAGAAGAAACAACAGCTGCTCCCAACAGGGCTCTGTTCAGTCTCGGAGCCAAAGGGCACTTAGCTGACACACTGCCAGTGACAGAAAACAAAATTTAAAAATAAAAATAAAAAATCAACAGAGGGCAGGGAAAATTCAAACATCAGTTTTCAGAAAAGCGGGAGAAAAATTCTTTTTGTTAAATTAGTCAGACCTTTGCTTCCAGATCCTACTGTGAGCACAAATGGAATCAGTAGGTTTAGAAGCATTCCTTCCCTTCTTTCCTGATTGGTGAATGGGGAGACGACATGGCTTAGGGGGAAATCTTCTTTCAAAGCCTGTGCAGTAATAATAAGAAAGGATTAAACGATTTCATCAGCAGACCACACACACAAGTTACTGCAGGGAACTACGATCCCTGTTTACACAGTACAACACTGGCATTGATGACCTGATTGAATTAGAAGCCCTGAGACCACTTAGTCAGGAGTAAAAGGAATTCACAGAGTAACATAGGTGTCAACTGCTCTTGTCATAGCCAAGATGTAAGAAGCTCAGATTCCTAACTCATAGATGTCATTAACAAAATTAGATGTATCCCACAGGAGTCAGCTGAGTGTTAGTCCTAAACTCTGCAGTGCTGTGAATGGCATCAGGATCTGACCCAGACTTTGGGGTATAAAACAAGGAACAGAGGAAATTGCACAAATGAGAAAATCTAAATAATTTTGCTGTCTGAACATGGAGGTTATTCCCAAACACATTTTTTGTTCCGCCTCACTTTGTGCTGCCCAATCATTCTCCTTAATGCAAAGAATGAACTCCTGAAAAATAAACTGAAAAATAAACAAAATGCACATTTACTTCTTGACATATAGCCAAGCCTAATTGAAAGGTTTTTCATCTTCTTTAGAGGAAGTAATACAAATGACTATCACTAGAACCTCTGCTCATTTACAACTTCCCAGTTGCTACAGACTTAACTGTAAAATGCAACTGAACCTGGCAACCCCTCAAGCTTGCAGACCTGGGCTGAGAAATTCCAGGAGAAGATGTTTTCTGATGGAGTGTGAAGTACTTCTGTTTCATATCCTGCTGGAAGTATTAGGAGTTATGACTAATCATGTGTTTTTCTGACATGTTTGTTTTTCATTATGTTCAAAGCCCATGAATGAGTGAACAGGGAGAAGAGGAAAATAGAAGTAAATACTCCCAATGCTTTTAAGACAATGATTAATTTGATATCTGGTTTTAAAAAGGAGAAAAGATTTCAGAAAAGGTGAAGGTGGCCTTTTTTTTGCTTTTAATTAAAGAACCATTATCTCAAAGTTGGAAGGAATCTATCCTCTTTCTGTAACAGTTGGTACCAAAAAGGCCTTTTGTGCCTCGTGCTCTGAGGGACAGCACTGGTTTGGTCCCTACAAGCCTTCCTTCCCAAGCTGCCCTGCTGCTCAGAAATACCTGCTGAAGTATTCAACTGGATGTGCCAATGCATACTTAAAAATGCAAGTTGGAGCTGGATTAGGAAATTTGTTCCTTCTTTGGTCACCATTCTGTCTGATTTCATGTCAATGGGGAGGGAAAGGGATACAGAGGCAGAAAGACTCTGTAATAGCTATGGCACTGCTATGAGAAAGGAATAGTGATGAAATTCTCAAAAAAGTCCAGGATGTTTTTTTTTTTTTATTCTGGACAACAAGGATGCTATTGAGTCAACAGCTGAAAAGCTAAGTTGCACTGTTTTTTTGAGCTGGCACACTGTGTGACCAGCTCAGGTAAGAGCAGAAGAGCACAAACTCCACTCTCAGTTGCACACACAGTCCCACAGGAAAAGAGGTAGGGTTGCGTGGATGTGACCCAAGCCACAGCCTGTCTGCCCATGGCAGGAGGCTTATGCTTACTCCTTAGATGCTGCAAAGAACCCTAAAGTGCTTGTGAGAGCCTTAAACAGCATCAATCAGCTAAACTCCCTGGACTTCAATGTCAGTGTTAAGCTGATGGATGCTTGCTGTGGACTTGGCCTGAACAGGTGAAGTCTGAGCTCTGTTCAAGCCTTCAAAAAGAAGGGAGAATTTACACATTGCTTCTCTTTCATTTTTGGTGTACGTTCCACAGTTTTTGCCCAGCTTTTGCAGAAGGAAAACAGAGCACCGATGAGTTGGTGTCTCAACCAGAAGCTATAACAGGCCTGGCCACAGGCCAGGGCAGACACACCTGTATCTGCAATGCTACAAGCCGGACAACAGCTGTGCTGAAGGGCAGAGGTGGTGAGAGATAAGGGCTGAGATGAAGAAGGGGTAATCCGTCAGCCACACTGGAGGGTCCTACCACTCCCATCACCTGCAATACAAACAGAGCACATCACCACAACTGACTACTTACAGTTTCATCCATGCCATATCCTCCAGCATCAGTGAAATGGAGGGGCCTTCCATCAAGCACTGAGTTGGGGTGGGTCTAGGAGAACCAGTCCCCCCAGTGGTCTCTGTGGGAGCCGGGGCCAGTGAGGTGAAGGAGTTCTCGCAGGCAAAGGAAGGGGAGAAGAGGGAACTAGCAAGGACGGGAGGCGTGCACAGGTAACCTGGTACATCTATAAGTGTACGCAGTACCAGCCCTGAATGACTAGCACTGGACCGGTGGAACAGTTAGAGCTGGAGGATATGTCATGTAACAGCTGTAACAAATAAAAATATTTCATCAAAGCAAGAAGTCTGCATTGAAACTGGATATCGTTTCCCTTCTCTTGCTGATCTACTTGAAAAATAATGTCCTAAGTCTGACCCAAGCCTGGTTTTGTACAATGTTCAGATTCCTCTCAAACACAGTCTGTTCTTAGGAACTCTGATTCATCTCACCTGACCCCAGATGTCTGAAGCAGAGTCATCTGCATGTGACCTGGTTGTCTGGAACTTCTTGAAATACCAGCACAAGAAACTAGCACTTCTAGGGGAGAGTTATTTGAACTGTTTTGGATGTGTCCCTCAGGAGGAATTAAATCACAGGCCTGCATATGCCTGTTTCTTTCTATGACTGGGCACATCTAGATGACGGGAACAAGGAGGAGCTCCCTGGCAGACACCTAAGCTTAGGGTAGATGAATGTCCTTTTTTTTCCAAATTCAGCCTGGGGAAAAATGCAGTAACCACTTTTCTGCCAGAAAACCAAAGGACAATTTAGAAAGGGAAGAGGCAGATCCCTTTCTTTATACCACTATGGATTATCATTTAGACATTTCCCTGCCTTCCTGGCTGCATTTCGTGATACAATTGGTCTACACGTGATACAGCATGCAGTCAGAGGTACTCCCACAGCTCACAGTAGCCATAGTTCTGACTGCTAAAGGGAGAGGACTCCTAACAGTAAGAGGGCATCTTTTCCTGGTAGGTCTCCCTGCTGTTCCCAGCCAGCTGAATGTAAGCATGATGACTGCACTTCAGCACTGTGGAGCTTTAAGCTGTTTTTAGGGCACTGGCTAATTCTTCATGCAGGCCCTTGGGAGAGCTTGCTGGCATGATTCATCCAGCCACATCTGCTAGCCAAACTGCAAGTCCATTCTAAACTTGTATTTGAGCTAACTCTGTAGCAACCTGCCCATGAAGCAACCCTAAGTAGTCTGAGAGGCCAGATTTGCAGTGTCTCCAAGTAGCTACCTCTGCTTGAACAAGGGAGAAGTCTTATGGACTCTGACAGGTTGAAGCTTCCCTGCCCTTGCAGCGATGAGTGCTGTATGGACTTGAAGGACAGGAGCCTTGGAAAAACTGATATTGCATTTTAACTGAAAACCCTTGTTTTTAAAGATCTTCAGAGCACTGGTGAAACCTGGGAGGTTTTCTGTTATATCTAGAAAAAGTCACAACATTTATGTTCCAAGAAGAAAATGTTATAAAATTCAGTAACAATAAAAATGCTAGTGCAGCCTTTCCCCCTTTATTTGTATTTTTTCCACATGGAATGAAAGCGTACATGTTTTTCCAAATGTCTGGAGTTACACTGATTATCAAATTGAGGGTTTGCCTGCAATGTAACAGCTGCAGAAACACTGCAAGCTATCACTGAATGACCAGACAGGCTCTGTCTGCATCATTGCTCTGTTGTAACACACTTAGGAGCATTAATTCTACTATGAGTGGGATCTGAACATTGTACATTGCAAACCTGTAATAGATCAAGCCAGGGACATTGCAAATAGCGGAGTGAATCCACTTATGTAAGCCCTTCTAACTAGCCAACACCTGACAGCCTCTGGCAGAGCCATCAGGGTCCTTCCCCACTGGAGATGGTAGGTATCCCCAGTGCCACCCTCTTCCCATCTCTACCAGGTGTGTGCAGTCTCCACCACCCCACTCTCCAACTTGCAGCCCTCAACTCTCAGCTCAATTTGGGAAAGGTGGATCTTCAAAGTGGTGCGTGGGAAGCAACGGAAATTAATTGCTTGACCACCACTACTGGTCACTCCAGTATCTCCTCATGCACCACTTCAAAAATGAACCTTGCTTATCTCTAGTGTCACTTGTGAAGTCCCCTTGTGAGGGGTAAGGGGGACAGGTAAAATGACAGGAATGGGAATGAACTGTCATCTTCAGTCCAGAGAAGTCAGCTGCAGGGGGAAGTTTAGCAAAGGTTCACGGGGTCGCTGCTGGGCTACTCACCAGATTGACACACACATTGATCAGAGACCTAAGGTGAGGCAGGAAGGATATGACTGGCTGCCTCTGAAGTGTCAAACAAACCCCTTCAATCAAATTGCTGGCAGGCTCCCACTCAACCTGGCGCCTGCAATACAACAGTAGGTGCCGTTAGCTGTGGGCCTCCTGTCTCCCACCAGACGCTCGCAAACACGGCGACCGACACACACTGACGCCCACAGAGGAAACGTTTCAGACAGCGACGACGTCCAGGATGAGCACATAGTGCACAACAGTGAAAAGGTTTTACCCACGCAGCTCAGGAAAGCACAGAGCCACAGAGCACACCAGGCATTTGAGAGAGACGAGAAACGTAGCAGAGGGGTCTGCACTAGCAACACAAACCCCCTCATGACAGCAGTGGCGGATGAGCTGTGTTTCACTCCCTGATGCTTCCCTCTGACAGACAGTGAATGAAGGGGAGCCACCAGACTGATGTCTCAGGTATGCCTGTGTGGGGAAAGCGGTCTGCTGTGCCATGATCCGAGCTGAGAGCGACTCCTCCATTTCTTGTGGCTTGTGGACATTTTTACTGAAGGGAACAAACACCACCAGCTGTGAGTGCCCCCGTCAGCTACTTTGCAGTCTAGTCTGCTCTGCCAGAGTGACTCCCAGACATAGTCTGCTCTAAATGTAAACTGGCCCAGCAGTACAATCTTTACCTTCCTCACCTTGTGCAGACGGGCTGATTCATCCCCTATCAGCACCAATATCCTTCATTCCAGGATCCTTTCTTCCCTGACACTTTGCTTTTTTCACCTAAACAGCTGTTAGGGCTCAACACAGATGCTGCATGGAGTCCTTCCTAATCATAAGCAGACACAGCACAGGTATCATCAAAGTGGTTCACACCCTTCATCTCAGGGCCTGACTCCTTGGAATAAGTATAGTTCTCAAGCCTACGTCTGACTGTGCGCTTATTGGGACAGAAAGACAAGGCTTGTGTAACTTGTTAGATGAAGACTAAACAATACTCTAGACAAGCTCCTCAGTAGACTTCTTAAAGACACATGGGTGATTAAGTGTTCGCTATGTAAGTTCTTACGCAGACCAACATACATCTTGTCTTTCAGCATCCACTGTTCCTAAAGCTCCACAATAGTAGTTTGTTCTCGTACTTGTTCTTACATGTATACTACTCTCATCAGACACTGGTTGTGGAGTGGGGTGCCCACAGGAGGCAGCATGTGAGATTCTGATGTGAGTACCCCAGTGGATGGCTCCTGGGGTCTGGCACCCAGCCCCACCTCTAAGAGGCTGCTTGGCCCAGTCACATTTAAATGTAGTTGCTGCACTTTGTCCAGTGGCTTTGCTGTCTCTGTCCCTTTGTGTATGGAAGAGCATTTTCAGCCAGGCATAGGTACAGGCACAGACAGAGAGAATATGAAGGGAATTTTAATTTATGAGCATTCATTCAGCTTACACAAAGAGGAAAGATCTTCAGGAACAGGAAGACCCCTAAGCTGCCTTTGAGGCAGAAGAAAGTATGAACAAGAAAAGAAAGAATGAGGAAGAAGCAGGCAAGACATGGCAAAGAATCAGACCAACAGGAAGGAGAAGCATCACAATTTCTGCTTCTATATTCCCTACAAGGGCAAAAGTTTCTTGAAGCAGATTGTTAGCCAAAGGAAAGTGACAGGTAGTGACATCAGAAAGAAGAGATCACCTCCCTATTATTTGCTCCATCTTAACTGGGTACATACGATTCCCATTGGGACCTAAAGATTTTTGTCTGAGTCCTAAATTCTGATACTCTCTAACATGATTTGGCTTCTCAGCCGAGACTCCCAACAAAGTGACTGATTCAATCATATGCCCATGAGGGTAACTGAGACTAATGATTCTTTTTACTCAGATCACTGCGAAATCCACAGAGCTGAGAGGTTTTAGACTACTCAGACCGAATTTGTATCACTGCCTGCGAGGCAGGAATGCTCCATATTGAATATTTTTTGAAATTGTCAAAGCCTGCACCATAATGCTACTATGTGACGCACCAGGCTTTCCCTAGGCACTGCCTAGATACAATTGAAGCAGTTCTGTTCCCTTTACTAAGGAGCATTTAGAAGCTACTGCACAGCTCCAGCCCATGCCTTTTCATGAGAAGGCATGCTAGAAATATTCTTACCACAGTTTAACTTTCCATTAAAAATAAAATCAATCACCTTAACTTACAGCTAAAATAAATAAAGAGGCTAGTGAGATGGTACAAATCTGAAGACTTATTCTGGAGAAAGAAAAACAGGATTTCTGGAAGTTCTCTTAATAACCATGCATTTCTTCTCTTGCCACCAGAAGACACAACAAATATGTCAACATAAATGCACACTTTCAGAGATAAAAACATCTATTCATTTTTTTTATGTTGTAACGGTTCACTGCAATGTGACAGTTTTGATTTAGATAACATACCCACACTTCAAGGCTTGCAACATCAGAAACGGACCCCGTAGGGTTTCCATTGTACCTGCTCACCTCAGGGTAGGCATCTTGTGAATTTTATTGAACATACGATCCAATCTCTTTAAGATGAGTATAAGGGCAGGTCTCACCGCCTCAGCTGTCCAGTCAGTGATGGGCAGCATCTCCATGATGTAGCGCCGGAGACCTCGGCTTTCCATTGTCTGTGTGTCATAAGGTGCCAGTTTCAGCAGGGAATGTGCAATTTCTGCCAATCTAAACCCAAGGTTTGTGAAGAGGAAAATCAAATACAACTTGCATTTCTCCACACATGTGAATGAACTAATGAATAAATCTTAAGCAGCCTACTAAAAAGATGCAAATGTCAAATGTGCTGCTATTTTGTCTCTGTCTTAGACCTCATACCACAGTTCCTGGTCTGTTAAGTTTTATTTGCTGGAATCACTGTTTGTATTTATGCACCCCTGAATGGTCTAAAGAATAGTTCTACATTGATATTAAATGCACCAAAGGAACATCAGGAATCACAGATTCGTGTAGCTAAAAACAAAGTACCTGAGCTCTTAGTAAGATTACAACATTGCAAATGCCTGTGACACACAGACCTGACATCATGTGTATGTCAATAAGTGATTTGGTTTGGTTTTGTGCTTGTTCTTCAGTGTCACCACTTCAAGAGGTCTCACTGTGCAATTTTCAGGTGTTAAATTTTAAAAATTATGTGCCGTCCCATAGGTTTACACAACATGTACTTTGTATGATTACTCCCTGAAGCTTTGATACGTTTCTCCTCACACCTCTACAGATGGTGTTGCTGTTGCTTCTTCTAAACCTCCCAGATGGCCTTGATGATGGCATTTTCTGTATTGACTGTGAAATACCATTGCAACATTTAACTTACACTTGCAGTTTGACAAAGACCTGGTGAAATACTTGAATATTTGCGGAAGACAAAGACATGTAATAAAGCTACATCTACTAATAAAAGGGATAGAAACCTGTATACTCCCTGAAACATCAGTACAGTTCATAATGGATGATTACAGTACAATCCTGTTCATATTGTGGGGGCTTCTTCTGAAATGCCTTCAATTAATGGAACATATTTCTATTCTCTTTAAAATCTGCCGAGCAATATCAAGGGGAACAAGTTCCTCAGATTAACAAAAAGTGCTATAAAAGTGTTTCTTTATCCAGTATTTCTTTATTATTACCTTTTACAACTACTTTGTCCTACTATGGAGTAGGTCTGTTTTTCTTAAACTCTGGGAAATTTAAATTATCATATAATCATGATTTTTTTCTGGCAATACAGTATCAGTGGCACTTAATGGTATTTGAAATCTTTCATATCCATTATAAAATGTGAGATCCATCTCATCTGACTTGAGATGTCAACCTCAATTAATCTAGCTCTGTTCATGCAGAAATAAGCAACCTCGGAAATTCTTATCTTCCTGAAATACTAGAATAAAGAACTTATTGGATATGTATCTCCCTTTCCATTAGGTCCAAAAAGATCTTCATGACATTTGCAGACTAAACATTTATCTTTTAAATGGCTAAAACTGGGTGAGATTAATCCTGTCTGAAGTGACTAGCATATTATCTTGTTTTTTGAAGTCTCTGAAATGGCATCTGTCTGCCTCCCAAGACCATGGCTCTCACATCACATTCTGATAAATCTGCTCTCTGCTTAGAACTAAGTTTTTTTCCTACAGTGCTTAAATCCTGTCAGTAATTTCACTGATACTTATGAAATGAATTTATGTAAGAATTGAGATGTTTGCTTTTATTTAGAGCTAATTGTGATAAAGTAATTCAGGTTCTAACCCAAATAAAGCAGTTATATCTAGCACTTTCCAGGAGACATAAAAGACAACTCTTTACCTTCTGCATATCAATCCTTTGTTGTTACTCCTCTAACCTTTGACCATGAAAGACCTTCTCTCTTGAAAAGAATGCAGTATCTGCCAGCTACTACTGTGTACATATGCTGTATGTACACATTGCCCTACATTTGGATTTAAGTTTGTTAAACTAGTCTTTTAAGAGAGGGATATAAAATGGTTTAAGCACAATTAAACTCCAATATTCTGGAATATAAAAACATGTAGATATTAAGTTCCCATATTACTGTTAAGCTGCAAATACTTCTGGGTAGTACACTAGAACACTCTTATGTTACATACAAATGTAAAACTAGGACAGTAAAAAGAAGCAAGCCCCTTACTTTACTGCACTAAATAAAGTTAATTCATCAGACACATGTTCCTCAGTCCCATTGAAATCATAAAAAAAACACCTCAACCTGTCTAATCGAGGACATAATCTGTCCTGAGAATCTCACCTTTGTTTCTAATACAAGCTTTAAATTCTTATCTCAGGCTTCTATTGCTAACAGTCATGGCATTTGTAATGCAGCTAAACATATGCATTGATTTCTGAGGCTTGTGTCCCTTGGAAAAAATGTAAAGATGGCACTGCAGAAATAGCCATGTCCATCAGATTTTCAGTTTGTTTGCAGCCAAGCACTACATGAGAATGACATGCATGAGTGGAAACAGATATCTCATGTTTAAAATTGCCCTCTGAATTATTAAACATTTGCCAGAGGGGGGAACAGCAACATTCAATTCATATGCAAACACACAAACCAAACAAAAAACACCTCCCAACTCCCAAAGGAATTTGGGGCATTTGTTAGACAACACCTAAATTCAATGTCAAACACAATTTTGTGTTCTGTAGAGACAGTCTGAATTCAAAGATCTCTAATCGTGACAGAATCTGGCAGCAAAGGGGCTTTGCCATTTTTTTCAGAGCATGCATGTAAAAGGTAGAAGAGTTTTTAGAGGGTTTTCCTTCATACAGGGACAGAAACAGAGCTGGTTAAGTGCATTGCTAGGATCTGTCACCCTTCATCTTCCTTTACAGGGTGTACCTGAGGAAAAAAGTATAGCACTCAAAGAGAGGAATAATTCACCGCCAGAGTGGCCTCTTGGAGTTCAAGGAGCAACAGAAATTACTGCTAAGGTGCTTCTGATTCACTTTTGAGGCCAGTCCCAAACAGTGTAACATATCCTTGCTATCTTTCTTATTTACTTTAATACTTTACTGAGTACTGAGCATCATTTTCCTTAGGCCATAAAAAAAAGCCCCTTGGTATTTAGCTATTCTATATTCAAAGAGTGATCTTGAAGTATTTCTCTGTCTCATAAAACAATTCAGATAGCTATCTCCCTGTGACCCACTGGCAAGGGATACACTAGGACCGCCTCATATGAATCCTTATTTTCCTTCTGACGAGTGCCAATCAGAACAGTGACTGATCAGAACAGTGACTAACTCTGAGAGTATCTGTGCTGTTTTCATTTGAGTTTGTGTTTCCTGAGATAATAGTAAGTAAGAAAGGAGTTTCCCTTGAAGTGAATGAAAAATTGACAACAGAATTGGGTCCATTCCCTCTTGGCCCACTGCTTTTTTTGTCTTTTACATCTGGACAAACTTCTCAGTAGCAACTTGCGCTGTCTTGTGTTTGCCATGAGCTACAAACACAGAGAAGGCCGTACCCCCAACTCCTAGGTCAGCACTACACAAAACAGTTCGCAGTGAGCATCCAACCAGCAAGCTGGGCTCAGTGCTGCACCTTAATAAAAGTCTTGTGCACTTGCTGTATCACATGCTGAGGTGGTGGTCCTGTAAATGCCTTTTCCCCATCCCCCCCATGTATTTCAGGCATTTATGCAATACAGTGCAGTGGTCACTCTGCACTTCTTGCTTGTTAGCAGCTGGTTCTGATGCACATTGTCACAGGAGAGGATAAAGGCCATATTCAGCCAGCTCAGCAGCTTCGCCACTCCTTGCCCTGCAGAGGCAGCCTTATCTGCTCTGCTCCTCACTGCAACTTATTCTGATGTATCAGATGGGCTTCCACAGAGCTATTTCATCCACTGGAGATGGGGGTCTGATTGAGACCAGAGGAGAGCATATGAAACCTTCCTTACATGCAAGCAGCATTAGGTACAATCTAAGGAACATCCAAAAGAAGCTCTGCATGTTTCGGATAGCAACACGCAACTACAGTACCAAAAAGTGATTTAATCTGCTATTATGATACATTAGGAGCCAAAAGAAAGGAATCCCCCTGAAGTGAACAAATAAAAGCAGAATGCCTGTGGAATACCTCATGTGGGACTTCACATCCAGCAGCTCCAGAGAAGTCACTCGGGGCTCACCAGCCAGATTCTGCACAATTTTCAGCCTTGGACCACAGTGCTTATAAAACTCTGTGCAGATGTTCAGCAATGACTCCCGTGGCCTCCTGAACTCCTCTCTGGCAATTCGTTCATCCAGTTCCTCTCGGGGAAGACCCTGGCCCTCCTCCAGTAAGTGAAGGTTCTCCCTGGAGGATATAAAATGAGAAAAAGTAGGAAGTGCTATATGCAGTGGAATAGCAGGGATAGATTATAACAAACTCTCCAATTTATTTTTGCAACAGATGCTTTCGGCTAAAAATGAAAAGTAGTTACATCTGCAATAAAAGGAAAAAAAAGGGAAATTATAATCTGCAATGTCTTGTTCAAAACGTAAATAATTTCGATATGAACTATCACAGCAACAGTGGGTGAGACCCAGTGAACCTGGAAACTGCTTGGGAAGCAGTTCTTCACATGTCAGGGAAGATTGGGCAAATGATTTCACTGTACCTGATAAAGTGTAGTTTGGCTCCCTGTTCTGGGTACCTGGAAAAACAGAAACAGTAAGGTTGTAAACAGCAACTTAGTCGTGCCTGATCTGTGCCTTTCTGAAAGAAGGCAACACTGTTCTAGCCAGAAGTATACTCACCATGGGCAGGATGATACCTTGTGTCACTGGAACAATGACTACACATAGTTAGTGACCACATTGAATGGCCTTCATCTCCCTACTGGCAGCAAACAACAGATTCCTATAGTTATTGCCCTTGTTATGAAAGGAAAAATTCAGGCTTAAAAACCATAGCCCTCTTTCAAGCAATTTCTCTTACTGATTTTCACCCCAGTGCTCAGTCTTTCTCATGAAGCCAGAGCTCACCTAGTGGAAAGAATACCTCAGCATGTTTTTTGATTTTATTGTAAATTTCTCTTGCACTTGTTGAGAAGGCATGAACAAACCCTATACCACTTGGCTGACACATCCAAGGCTGTGACCATTCTACCATCACGAGACTCCTGGTGTTGCTAGCCAGTCTGTTGCAATGACAACACAACAGAAGAAACTGAGGGCAGGAAACCTGGAGCAGTGCAAAAATATTTTGGATCAGAGACTGTATGTTTGGTAATCAGAAAGATCTGGAAATGTAAACCAAGATGTTCGAGTCACACAGTATCAGGATTCTACATTGCCTGTCAGCAGATACATATTCACTGCTCTCCAAAGTCTGCAGACAAATAATAAAGCACTACTTTCCATTGCACCTTGTTTTCCTTTGACTGGGCAATCTTGCAATGGAAGTAAATGGCATATATGCGCTTCAGACTTGAGCATGAAGGAGTTTATCTTCTTCTCAGACCCAGGATAGAAAGTCAAAGCTGTGTATCATCCATGCCTGAATCAGTCTTAAAGAATAACAGATTCCAGGAGTTACCAACCAAGAAGTATACACTACACATCTCTGGAAGAACAGCTACTCCAGCTTTTGCTAGGGTAGAATTCCCTTTCCAGGTCAGCACAAACTTCAGATTTTAAGCACAGTAAGGCATAGCCTGGCCAGGAGAAGGCAGGGCTGCCCAGAAGAGTAAAGAAAACCTTCATAATCGCAATTGCTTGTGGATGGATTTTCTATCAAGACTTCTTAAGCCCTTGCTCTATGACTAAATTGTCCAGTGGCCTTGTCTAGTTTGCAGCAGCCTAATTGGAATGGAGGATATGGCCAAAGAGAAGTCTGCTGGCACCATCTCCTTCCTTATTTCCTTCTTCCATGTGAAGTTTTTTTGGGGGGTTTTTTGTGTGTTTTTTTAAGAAGGACAAAAATATTCCAAATCATTCTTCTCTTTCTCTCAAATTCTCTGCCACCTACTCCTTTGCTATCTGCAACTGCAAAAAACACCCCAAACCACTGTGGAGGTAAAGGAGATAGAAAGAGACCATAGGAAAAGTAAAAGTAAAAGGAAGTGGGAAAGGGAAGAAAACTAAAGGTGGTGCCAGTCTCTGTGAGTCCCAACTAACATGTAGTTTGAGCTGATACTGCTGCTCAGTCTCTCAGAACAATGCCAGAAGGATCCAACCCTTCTGCTGTCCAGGTGTGCTCTGCCCAGTGGTCACTTTGACAGTGGATCCAGAAGGAAGCAAAGCAGAGAACTGAGCGACGTAGCTGCTTTGTTAATATAGTTCTAGAATGTGAGGAGGGAAATAAAGAAAAAGACACTTAGGATGGGCGTCCTCCATTTTGATATCCTGGTCCTCTATTTAGTCGCATGGTTTTAAACTAGAAATCCTAGTCTTCGGGATTTGATTACTGTCAGAAATTCAGTCCTGGGCTATGTGCTCTTTTTCTCTGACTGTTTTCTCCCACAGTAGCTAGTACACTTCCTCAGCCTGCTGAGGAAGTGCTCCAAGCACTCTGAGCAATGAGATGTTACTTTAACCACACACACAAAAAACCCCAGCTGTTCAGAAAAATGAGAACTAAAGAAAAGCCCATTGACTTACCTGGTATTCACACCAGCTGACATGGTGTGGTTTGCTGTTGTGGTCCCTTTATGGCCTTGGTCACATCGGCTCATCTGTGGGGCTGTCATGGGCCTGGGAACGGGAAGGTGAATAGCACATTAAAGACTAAATCTAACAAGTGCACTGAAATTCTGCTTGTGATCTGGTGAAATTTGGCAGTAATTTTACCATGTCTAAAACTCAACCGTTATTCAAGCGAAGTTGCATACCATGACCTCCTGTGCATTCCCTCTCCCCACACTGGTAATGAAACACAGGCTCAGACCTCTGAACCATGTGGGTTACCTGGTGAGAACTTCTACACTGTACAAGAGGGCTTGTAAAGAGGTGGCAAGGGCAGCCATAGCAGCAATCTCCTCACGAGCTGCTGTCACAGTCTCCACTTGAGAGGTTTGTCGCTTCAGTTTCTGCAAGTAACAGGGAACCAGTGCTTCCAAGACCATCAGCATCTGGAGGCTGCAAAAATAACCAATACTTGGTCTGTTTTATTTGGTCAATCCTGAAACTCATATCAGGCAGAGGCTTATGTTTCTATCTGAAGACCCTTGGATCTCTCACTAGCCTTGTGATTTCATTGCTTCTCACTAGACGAGAAGTCCTGGGCCAGAAAACCTCTTGGATCATGGACATCTGGGAGAAAATTAGCTGATGCATGAAACAATAAAAACAACCCAGACTTCATGGGTATCTTCTGAATGTCATCCATTTGCAGACATTCATTTTCACTCCCAAAGACTTTCTTCTCTTGTTCCCTCTTGGAAATTAATTTTTCGCGTTATCACTTTACTGCCCCTCTCTCTGTATCTTCCTGTTCTTTCCATCTGCCTGTTTCTCACCCTCCAGTTCCCTCTCCATTGTCTCTGACGACAGAAACCTGCAGGACACAGGGTGATCACCACCTAGAAACACAGCTTACATGTTGCTGCTCAGACCGCCATCCAGCCTAGAGCTGCAGCCAGCAGCTGGCAGGTTCTGGAGCTGGTGGCCTAGGAAAGGTATCAACAGACAGAGGTTTGGCCTCACAGAGAAGCCTCATGCTTGAAATGCATTCCTATATCTTTTGCCTCCATTTGTCTGTGTTGCTTTTGCATGCCATATGCAGCTATTATGCCTTTTCTGAATCTGCACAAACCAAGAAAACAGATTAGCACCTTCTGAATGATTCAGGAGCATAGGCCACCACTGTCACACACAGCTTGATGGCTTCGCTGATCGAAAAGGTCAAGTCTTCATTCCCATAGCAGAAGTCTGAGGGAGTAAAGCAATATGAGAAGACAATCACACAAACATACTGAATATGAAAGCAGCTAGCACACTCCCTCCTTTTTCCCCTTTTCAATTGCTTGCTTCTCATGTTAACAATCCCAAACAGGCTCTTGATTTTTGACAAAAATCTGTCTATAAAAAGGAAACATATGCTGCACTCCTACTTGCACCCTGTTGTCCAAGAACTCAGTAGGTGGGAAACAGTTCTCAGCAGGTCAAATCACTGCTGAGCATAAGGCCTACAGCTGCTACTGGAGTCCTGTTTCAAACATTGACCATCACAAGCAAAATCTTAAGCTTATACATGACAAGGACACCTGTCAAACTTTATTTTTATGCTCCCTCCACTTTTTCCTGGATGTTTCCCCTGCACTGCACTCAAAATGATTTTGATACATCACTTATGACAGAAGATGGTCTCACTGCTAAAAAATAAAGCCTCTTCTATACTGGTAGCCACCTGGATGCCAGCACAGAAGTGAGACTGATTTGCTCCTGATTTGAGAAAAAGTTTTCAATAGCATTTAAGTCCCATACTACAAATATTACCATGGGGATAATGAGCGCCAGGCACCAAGAAACTGAAGTATCAAAAGAATAATATTTGTCATACAACTACAGTCCCATTTTCAGAAATGACTTTGGTATGCAGGAGCCCAAGTTAAATTTAAGGTCCCAAAGTGTGCAAATCACTTTGAACAATGGACCTTAGAAGTCAGGTATTTTAGATAATTCTGATCTTCATATGCAAAATACCAGGGACACAACATACTCATCCACAGTCTCATCGTCAGCACACATCTGGGAATTTTTGAAGATGCCTTTGAATAACCCTCCACAGAAGACCCAAAGCTGTTACATAAGTGTTTACTGCAATCTACACAGAAGAATAAATATGTTCTGTTTCTGTACCATTTTATATTATCACTTGTGATATAGTTGTGCAGCATCATAAAATCCCAGTATATAACAAAGCTTTAACTCTAGGGCTAGACAGGCTTCACAGTTCATCAAAATCAGTATTATTTAAGGGTAGTGCAAATTTGGAAAATAAGTTGACGATACTTATAAAAATCAGCTAAAATTACTTCCCTGCAAATCACAAAGCAGCCAAATTCTTAAATGCTGCATTGCATGGATAACTATCAAGAGACACAATGTCCTGGATACATCATACAGCCGTATATATTCTGCTTTGTGATAAATCAACTCCCCCCCTAGAACACAGCACTGCTGAATGTCTGAATGGCATCCATCATTTACTAGTCATAGTCTGCCCACGGGAGAGAATGCTTTTGTTTCCTGCCCACATGGAGCAGAGGAGACTGCTCTTGTCAGCGTGATACAGTTTATTAGGCATCTTTATTCTTCACCCACACATGATGTCTCAGACTAGCAGGCTCAATGTAGAAAATGTAACTTTGGAATAAAATAAATTAATAACTCCCTACAGAAAATATCAAAAGGATGGTGAAGATAAACCCAACCTTAAAAGCCTCATGAGGCATAAGAAACAGATATGACTGCATTCAGGAAGAAGAAAAGGGCTCTGAACAAATCATGCTGCATGAAACGCATGTTGAATCAATAAACAACCAACCATAATTACTGAATAAAGAGTGCTTTGCTGTTACCTAATGACTTGAGAGGCTTTTCAGCTTTCACGAGCTCTAAGATGTCCAAAATGTCTGGAGTATCTCCCTCTAAAGACTGCAGCAGGTCAAACAGGCACTGAGCTGACACCCCTTTGCTGGTTCCGTTGTTTATAGCATCCTGTTCAACAACAGACAGTTGTGGTTGATTTTCTGAGGGCCTGTGGGCATTCCAGGCATCTGTATCTGAAGATCTGGGCAACCTTTTTTTTGACAAAGGGCCCACGCGGAGTTCAAGAGCTTACTGCTATCAAACAATAAGCCTTGCCTGACCAACAGATTGATGCTGCAGTGGAAGCACGATCTGAAAACTGCACACAGTTTTGCTTCCCAGAAACAGCAGATCTGTGCTGTGAAGGAGAAAGATGTGTGTGCTTACAGTGTATGTGCAGCTAGATTAGGCAGTACCGCTTCAAATTAAAATTCCATTAATTGTTTAAACTCACTAAAATGTTAAAAAGTAATCAGTGAATATTTCAAAACATGGATAATCCAGTCTTATAGTTCACATGTACTAAAACTTGGTGTTAAGCTTTTTGTTCCTATCTGTTACTGAATTCTAAGAAACGGTTTGTGTTTAAAGAGTTACAAATCATTATTGTTCTTTTTACCCTATTTATACACAGAAATTTAAATTGAGACCACATTTACTAGCCTGGATACCAGTGGCCTGTTATCTCAGCATCCTGCTCAATCGGCTGAAGAACAGAAGCATGCAGAAGAGTAAGTTCAAGAAATGGTTCTGTGCAGCACCATGTGCAGTAAGAACATGTTCAGTAAGAACCGTGCTGCTGCTCCATCGGTTGTCTCCTTGTGATATCTGATGGAGGGCTGGCTGCATAAACAGGCTTCCCAATGCTGAGACTAGGGAATGGCTTTTACTCACAGGGAACTCCAAGAGAGGGGCCACACTTGCAAACAGCTGCAGAATAAAGGGCTTGCGATGCAGAACGTAGAACTGGCGGCACGCAAACTCAATTGCTTGGCGTAACTGTGGGTTGCTTTCATAGTCAGCGTATACCTGAGCAAATGATAAAGGACATGGGAGCATTACTCCAGCAGAAGGGCTCTTCATCTCCTGACCCCAGACTGAATCAACTACAGCCTCATCATTCCTGATATGTTTGCCTAACTTGTTAAAGATGGAGACTTGTCTGCCCTCCCTGGCAATGCATTTCAGGGACAAACTCTCCTTACAAAAAGCGTTTTCTTGTCAGTCTTGAACCTTCTTTGTGACAGCTTTAGTCCTTTATTTTTTGTCCTACGTACTAGAGGTAGATTCCTTCCCTCTCCTTCCTAGAAACACTTTTGAAGCCAGTTAGTGCTTTCTTACTCAGCCTTCATCTTTTTCAGTTCATCAAATCCCAGCGCTTTTAGTCCTTTCTCATATGATATGTTTTCTAGATGTACATCCATGTTCCAGTCTGCAGTCTCTTCAATAACTGATGCTTTTTGTGCAGTGTTACCTAATGACTTGAGAGGAATTGCTTTTTTGCCTCCCAAGAGTGTTACTTTATTAATTTGGTAGTTGGCAATAACTGGGGGGGGGGGAAGGAAGGAAGAAAGAATTACAAATCTGATTTTTCTCAGTATGAAAAGTGAAAATGAAGGGACAGTCCTTCACAGGACTGAATGGTTACCGCCAAGTACTTCGAATTAAGTTATTTTATTTCAAAATGTCTTGTTTCTAGTGAATAAACACATACACTGCAGACTTGTATCCAATACATACTTACCTAACCATGTAAGTTGTGATATTCGAGTTTCCAGTTACTAAAGAGTTTGTTTAGATAACTAAATTCATCACTGGTCCTCATTTTTGTCTCTGTTAACTATGTTAAAATGAACATACATAGGGTTGTCATGGTTATTGGTTCTATTGCTACAGAATCAATAGTTTTTTCTGTATTTCCATTATCATACTAAATCTCTATTTAGATATTTTCTGTGAGCCCTGCAGAAATAATCTTTTTGTCTGTAAAAGAACTATATTGGGCTTTTTTCATTTTCAGTATCTGATTTTTCTCTAAGGTCAACAAGAAGAAAGGCATACTTGTACACCTCAAAGTGAAGAGAAACTACACTTCTAACACTTGCAATATTTGTCATCACTCACATGAAAAGACAACATATAGTTTTTCATAAACACTTAATGTTATTTTCTGTTGCTATTTAAATTGCAGATAATACAATTATCGTGCTTAAAGAAGTGAATACAATTTAGTTTCAATCAGCATGTAGCAAATCCAGATATTTCAACTATTCCCCAAATTTCAGCCTTCTCTGGAGGAAAAAACACTGGGGGAGACCCAAGGTCCAAAAATTTTCTGGAAATTTCACATTTCCGTGTGGAAGTACATAGTAAGGGAAACAGACATTCATTTATTTAACATAAATAAGAAAAGAAAAAGTAGTCATTTACTCAAGAAGAAAAGGGAATGTAGTCTCAGGAATGCTGTTTTTGGCTGTCCTACCTGATCTGTTGTTTGTCTTCTTGGGGCCCCCCAAATCTGTTACCTCACCAGGCCTCAGCAGTTTAAAGTTTCTCCATTAACAGTCAGTTCTACAACAAAGTGCTCGCTCAGAAGTCTTACATTGTATTGTTCATGGAAATGGCTCACCTGCAACATGCTGGGGAGGACCCACTGGTACCCGCTGAGGGAGAAGAGGTGGTTAAAGTGCACGGCTGTGTTGATGACTGTGGCAGCATACTGCCTCAACAAGGCACTGTCTTCAGGGTGCAGGATCAGGGCACCATTGAAGACATTCAAGAACAGCATGATCTCATCCCCCCAGGGAAACTCGCTGGGCATGCCAAGGAACATCTCCTCCAGCAGCTTAATCCATAAGCTTTTCTGAAGAGTGTCCAGACCAAAGAGCTCTTTCCCAGCTGCCAGGAAGAAGAGGCAACAGCAATCAACTCTGTCAACCACAGCCAGCCTCACAACATTCCCAGAGGCCAAAGGCCTATCCAAAGAACCATCCCACAACACTGACCATTGTTCTGCCTTTTTGAAATTATTTCACCCATTCTGTAATTCTAGAAGTTCCCACAGGGCTTGAGCAAACCTTGACTGAAAGCAACACACATGAAGATGAAGAATGATGAGTACCACACAGCTCATTAAATCTGCTCCCCACTGGCTGGAAATTCTCCTTTTAGAAAGCGAAAGCAGATCTGAGCTTGTACACAGATCATCTGCCCCACAACTTGAATGGCTGTGTGGATTTTTGCTGAATTTTTATCCTTCATGTGTCCCACACATTACAGGACATTGATGCAGAGTTACAATAAGGCTTCTGAAAGCAATTGCCTTTAGGGCCTGTTACAGAACTTGTGAATGCTTACCATCCTGCAACAGTGGCCTGTTTAATCCTCAAGTCAGGCTAGACACCCTACTTGACTTTCAGAGAAAAGTTTCTAAAAAGAGGACTGTTTCTATATCCCTGCTGCAGAATTTGCCCAATCTTCATTGAAAGTCCATTGCTTCCTCAAAGTGGATGGCAAAGGACTCTGAGCAATCTTTTTTAGGTGTAGTTATGCTACTGGACACAGTATTCCAGCTGTAGTTTCATGATAGTTTTAATACATAATTATAATTTATTCTCACTTGGGTCCAAAGAAAGGTTTGTCTGGAGACCTCTAACAGCAAAGCCCTTTCTGCTGTTGTGCTTACAAACCAACAGCTGTGTATCATTTTCCCTAGGGAGGGATCTATCAGCTTTCAATAACACTACAAGTCTGTACGTTTCTAAAGCAAATGAAGCACCTCACAGAAACCTTCTGGGCTCTGTTCAATCACATGAGAAAGCTGTCAAGAGGCCATACCTTGAGGATCATTGAAGAGTGAGAACTCAGCATCAATGGCACTTCGGGGAAAGGAAGGCAAGCGAAGGAGGTCTTCCTGGAGCATAGATACATGGGACTGTTTGTGGGCACTAGGGATTTTCTGTGTCAGTGATATGAGGAACAACACCCGCCCCACCTCTTCTAGCTTGCGGGTGAACACCTAAGAGAGAAAAAGAGACAAGGATCAGAATTGGTCTGATCAAAAAGTTCTTTAGAATATATATGCAGTTTTCTATGTTAGCTTCCATGGCTTTCTCTGATGGGAGGGACACTACACTCGTGGCCCAGAGAAACCTATTGAAATTCACAGGGCTAGTGCTGCACCCTTCCACTGGAATTTGTGCGGCCACTGTTTTTCAGCCCAGCTCTGCAAAGAAGAAACATGTTTGTAAAAGAGTTTTTAACAACTTGAGTTGTTGAGGACCCTGAATGGTTGAAACACACTATGCAGTAGTGCCATGCAGTCTTTTGCAGAATAATGTAAGATTTGCCAGTGTGAACCCCAAGCTGGTCAGAGGCAAATCAAATCTAAACTGAATGCCATACAGTTGCAGTTGCTCCCTGCAAGCTCTTAGACTATAGTCAACGTGAGGCTGGAATTGTTATCTACCTTCTTGGCTCATGTCTGGCCATAGAAAGTGCATGTGTAGTTGCAAAAGAAAAGTAGTCATAAAACAAAGCAGATCAGGTCCCTAGTTACTGCAAATGAGCAAAGTCCTGCTGACTTCAGATTATCGCTTTTGGTTTACAGAAATGAGTTCCATTCTACCAGACTTCTGTGAACTTCTCACTGGTAGGACTTGATTTAAGTTTTACCTTATAAATATTTTGGCCTCTAAGTACTCTAAACAGAAAAAAGTGAAAAGTAAAATAATGCCCTGACAAAACTGGATAGTCCATTTTAATATTTTTGGGTCATGTAGGACATATCAGACTAATTTATTTGATATGTGGGGGACATCTCCTAGAACCATAGTGAGAATAATGTCTGTCAGAGAAGCAATCAAAATGATCTCAGGTAATTTCAGCTTTTTATAGACTTTCTACTGACAGATACAGCACATGAAATATTTCCCTATTCTGTACCATACACATACGAGATGGCATTAACTACATTCTCCATTATTATAGCTGCTAGTCTCTCAAAGTAGCTTTATAGCTGCTTTTAATAACCATTCCTGATTATATTTTCCTGTCCCTGCATTCACATTGTCAGGGACACAACTACAGTAGCTGCTTTTTGGCAAGAATTATACAACTGTTAATACCAAACTCATACAGTTTAACCACATTCCCCCTTCTTTTTATTTCCTGCTTATTACCATCCTTTGCAGATACAGCTAGAGTAACTTTTCCCTAAACACTCAACCCTGTGCTACTGAGAAAACTTCGCTTTTGTGGAAAACAGAGCATATGGCTTCTACAGGTAGAGTGACCTTAATACCATTGTCTTACTGTCTAAAGAAATGATACTTGCAGAGGTTTGCAGCACATTAAAGGAACTGCCCTGCCACTTTACTCACAGTTTAGTTCCTAATGGAGAGCTCCTGGGAGATGCAGAACATTAGCAGAATCAGACAGATTATCAGGTCGTGAGGCTGGAGAATAGGGAGGACAGTGCTCTTCTGAGGGCAGATATTCCCCCAGTGAAAATTGCTACTGCTGTGCCTCTGGGACTAGCTATGGTAGAAGACTAATATCTGAGAGCAGGACAAGGAAGAGAGGCAGGTAACATTCTTTACAGTGAGAGGGCAGAGAGGAAGGTAGAACAGGTAATTCCTGCTTCACAGCCAGAGATCATGTTAACGAAAGGAATAAGCAACTTTTGAAGCTGAGGCAACTGAAGCTCTTCTGGCCAACTGTAGGAGAATGAAAAATGATCCACCTAAAAGAAGCTGGATGGAGAGAGTAGGAGGCAATTCACATTGCATTCTTTGGCTCTTCTTAAAATATCATACACCTGTCCAATGGCACCAGGGCAGATTTCATGCCAATTGCTACTTCTCCAGCAATGCTCTCTGTCTGCATGCAGCACGAGTAAAGTCCTTTACCAGGAAAAGAAACGTTTATTTACAGGGTTTTCATCTGGGCAGTGCTTGGTGCCAGTAAGATACCTGCTTCTGAATGAGCTCTTGACCCTTTTCTGGATGCATTTGCACCAGGTTGAGCTGGGGAGAAACTGACCTCCGGAAAGGATAAATGTCACGGACATAGGTCTGCAGGAAAGGAAACAAGTTTATTTTAAACAAATGCAATCATTACAGCATCACTCAACAGAAATGAATAAAAGGCGCTTTAGCCCTTTATGAAGCTTTTGGGTAAGGGCTTTCACACAGTGTCAGGCATCATTGAAGAGCATAAACAGAAGAGAAATCTGCTCTTTTATAAGAAAGCTAGACATTAGTGACTTATGAGCAAGGGACTCCACTTCTGCCTAATCCCTCTTCTGTCAAACTCCAATCTTTCACCACACACAACTAAACATCCAAGATGTGGTGCCCGTAAGACAGAATTCTGTCTATTTATGGGCTGCTTGTTGTCCTTTAGATAACCCTGATGTTTAAAAATGGACAAGATGGAAAGAATAACGTCATCTCGACCTGAACTTTGTCTTACCTTGTTGTAATGAATGAGATTCCATCGCTTATCCATTAAAAAGTAATGAGAAGACTGCGTTTCAGGTATATTAAAAAACTCCAAGCACTCCTGAAATGGAAGAAAGAAAAACATCTTGTTACTTATTAGCTGTCTTGTACAAAGATCACAACATCCAAAAGAAGAATACCCAGCTAATAATGTATAAAGGCACAAAACTCCATGCCTCAGTCAGGCTGGTACATTGTTCTGGCATTAATTCTTAATTTCTTTTTTTGATCACAAAGTACATGAATATGTTTGTGATAATCAAGGCATGTTGATATCACAGTCCTGAAGACTGATGTTACTTATTCCAATATGTTCATATAGCACATGTATAAGCCACATGGGTATTGCAGCTTCCATTTCCATACTATGTATTTATCAAGCTTTAGTGAATAGGTGTTGTACAGACACACCAAAGTTCCAATCCTTCAAAGCACTGAGATGTGTGATTCCCATTAAAATTTAACAGCTGGACAAACTGAAGGCTTTTACAAATCTGTTTCCTATCTGGCCCAGTTAAGGCCATCCAGGAAATCTTTGGCAGAAGGGGGAACTGACCTCACATCTCCTGGATCCCAAGATACTGTCATACCTACTGAATCATGATTTCCATTCTGATCTTGATCATTCTGTCTAGTCTTTGGTGTTGATAAAACACAACATTTAAATGATTTATGTATTTATCTAAAGGATAGTATACAGAAAATTCCGAACAAGCTGCAGTGTCTTCAAATGTAGTTGTAGTTGTAGGATTTTGGCTGTCTGTCAGGTCAGGTTATTTCTGTTATTTAATGTGGGATCCTGTTTCTTGCAACCAAGCTCTCCTCACAGGGAGACAAAAATGCCTGTCAGCAAAACTTCCCTCGCAATACTGAAACAGGATAACCAGGTAGAATGTATTGCTGGCATACAGGTATGGCAGGTAAATGTACTATTAAGCAGTTTGTTCAATTAAAAAACTCACTCCTACCTTCAGAAGAGCCTCAAACTGTGTGTCCTCATGGACTGGTAACTGAGTTGGGATATCACACTCATTCTGTCCATGCACGACAAGCGTTTTTGTGCCTAAAGGAAGAAAAGCAGTTGCATTCTCCCTGGCCTCTTTAATTAACTGAATTTCAAAAGACTCCCCATGGAGGAAAAGTGATAGTTAAAATACATTACTGGGCTGACAGGCAGTGCCAGTCCCGTCTGGAATCCATTAAGGAGTGTTAGCATAGTCTCACACTTCCACAGTTAATGAGAAATCGATCTGTTCTTAAAGGATGACCTGGCTTTCACAGCAACTCACTCTGAGGAAGGAGCAAACCTAAACAGTCAAATCCATTTTTCAGCAAGATATCTCTCGCCTGACTCGTGACATCCTAGGCTCACAGCTTGCTCTTCTCGGGCTCTCTCAAGACTTAAAAAAGAGGCTGCATCAAATGAAATTGAGTCTGAATGGTACAGTTTTGCAATGATCATCCTGCCAGCCTTTCACGGCCCAGCTGGCACAAAGCTCTGGGTTCAAAAGAGTGTTCTCATTCATCTTCTGTTTGCTTCTTTTAGAGCTCTTAAAGTGGTTTCCTGAATCTCAGGTGGAATTTACCAACTGAATCCTCAACTCAATGAAAACTGACAGAATATACAGCTATTTGTAGCAGAGCTTTTTTTCTGATCCAGTTCTGGTGGATGTCCTTACAGGTAGAGTGGGTCATGAACTTGGAAGTGAAGGAGATTTAAAGACTCATTTCTGCATATTATACCTGGCATTGAGGCAGTCACCAGCAGCTTCACTTCGCATTGTTCTTTCTTCATAGTCTGTTTGAGATCCTTGAAGAAGAGTCCTTCTACATAACCCACCACTTCCCAAAGGAAGGTAAGCGTGGCAGAAATGGCATCCATGCCCCATTCACATGGAGTGCGTACAAAATACATGATCAGTCCTACCTGCAGATAATAAGTAAGAGGAATATCAGGCTATACACACTCTTATTTGTGCAGAGCACTGTGTAAACACAGAACAAGAATATTGTTCTTCTGTGTTTCTTCACTCAGAGAGATAAACTCATTAAACTTATGTCCTGAAAGTTTATAGATACTACAGAACAATCTGCCTCTACTACTCCTCCTTTTTCTATAGAGGATGATGAGTGGGGGCAAAAAGTACTGTTGCAGCCCAGCCTTAAAAGCCATTCTAGATGAGGAAAAGGGAGAATCTCTGTAGTAAGAGACTTCCTATGGCTTCTGCTCTGATGTGCTGCCACGTAGACAACTCACAAACAACAGAGGGCTCCTGGAGAAACATGTGTCTTGTCTATGTCATCTCCTAACTGCAGTAAATGCTTTTTCCACAATCTTGAAAAAAGCTGCTATATTTGCTCCAATAGGACTGCCCGAGAGCAAAGGACTTTCTGAATCAAAATTAAGTAAAATAATTTAAGGTTTCTGGCACTGGGATCCTTCTATTGGTGTACAACTCATTGTCCACGGTTCAATTCAGCAATCCATGACAGGTTGCTTAGGGGTTTAATAAAAGGTTGAAGGTTCCTTTCCTCTCCCTAGAAGGACTGAAAGGCTGGTGTAAGCCTGGTGACTTGCATGCACAGTCAGAAGCAGATATGAGCTGTACAGGAGAAGTTAACAGCATTTATTTCCTTGCAGATTGTGACGTTAACTTTCTAGGACACATGCAGGCAGAGGTGAGATTCTGGGCTGCACAGTGGACCAACAAGGTACTCACCAAGTAGTTAAAGAGGATGTGAGATGTCTGGGCAGGGAAGTCTCCAATGTTCAACAAAAGCTTCCTTAACATATACATCAGTTCATCCTGGAAAAAGAGCAAATGTTTTTTCTTTCCATTACAAAATGGAGAATGGATTTTTCCCTTTTGTCCTCTCTGGCTTTGTTTCTTCCCATTTTTCTATGCTCCCTTGTTCAGCTCTGTCTCTTGGTGCATGAAGCAGAACTATCTGCTTGTGACTGCTCCCACATTTCCCAAAATAAGGCTCAAGACATAGCACCCAGGTCTCTGTCTTTCTTTTTCATCTCAGAGAGGCCAATACCTCCTTATTGCAATTTGTACTGACAGTAGCATCGTGACTCTGCACTCCTCTCCCTGTGATAATCCCTGTGTTGCTTATCACAACAAATGACTACCTAGATGATCTGTGAAATCTAGTTCAGCTCAACTCAACAGCTATGGGCAGAATCTAACTTTTCTTCCTTTAGTGGCTGCCTGCTTTAAATGTAGATTAATACATTTCTTATGGTGGGAAGGGGGTTTAGAGGGGAAGGAATTTCAGTGTCAGCTAAGGACAGGCAGGCTGTATCATAAATTTCTTCTATGGCCCTCATCCTCTTAACCCACAGCTGTTCTGAGCTAGTGTTATGCACATGAATATGCATAGAACAACACATGCCAATGATACATTTGCTAAAACCTTCCAAGGAAATACACCTGCTCTCTGGGTTCTGTACTCATGGTTGTAGCAGGCCTATGAAGAGATGGTAAAACAGCAGACTCTGATAGCTCAGAGGCCTCAGAGGCTGGACAGTGTATAGCTCCCTTCTCAAACATGCTTAACAAACAGAAGTGATCCTCTGAACTTAAATAGAATCTTTGGGTATTATGGCTGAGAAGCCTCAGCAATAGCGAGACCACTGAGACCTGATTATTCAAGGAACTAAAAATCAGCCTTTCCTGACCTTTCTTAAGGATTAATATTAATTTTGTAGTCAGTTCTTAGGTGGTGGCTTGGAAGATGAGGACAGTGATATTATTGTACACCAAGTGTGCAGTTGAGGAAGTGATATGGAGAGTCTCACTGCCTTTCATCCAGTCAGAACTGGTATGCCTTTCTGCCATAAAGCTTAGCCATGGCCTAGAAAGTGGTCTAATAAGCCAGAGAGAGACAAGGCCATTCTGATCTTCGACAGAAAGCTGAACAGAGTGGCATGGGTGGAGGCAATATTGCTTATGTTGGAAAGGGTTGTGCTTTTCTAAGCAGCTGTTCAAAGCCTGGCTGAGAGCAAGTCAGATCCTTAGTGGTGGTAAATCAGCTATGTCCCATTTACAGTAGTGGACAAAGATTGAAGCCAATTGGTGATATGGCCTAAAAGATTTTGAGCTACATCATAATAGCAGATGTTTTTCTCCAATGATGCCCACAGAGTGATTCTGCTTGCAGCTGTGCTTCCCTGCTCTAAGCAATACATACAGCCACTGGGGAGAGGAACAATTTACCTGTCGGTTGCTGATTGTGAGCTTCTCAAGGAAATGGCGCAGAACTGTAGAGGGGTCTTCAATTAAGCAGTTCCACAGGACCTGCTGAGCAACAGCGCTTACTGTAAAAGAGAAAGAAAACAAGGTCAGAACCATCTTCCTTGGAAAAGCCTTGAGCTGGTACGCTTAAATGCAAATGTTTCTAGCCTTCTACTACAATTGTCATGCTTTGCACCAAAACACACAGAACCCTCTCTGAGGCACTAGGATTCCTGGTCACCAGTGCAGCTATCTCAAGTGGTAATGACAGGTCTAATATTTAAACTTTCCTTAACTACTGGTGATATGACAGGAAGAACTTCATCACTGTTGTCAGAGGAATAATAAAGAAATAACGATTTGGATTCACAACTCCAGACGGACAAATCCATCAATTAAAAAACATAAAGTCATGTACTTTTTTGTTCATGCATAGACGTTCAATTTCATGGTGATTTATTGAGTGATTTTGTCTGGTATTCGTGAACAGTATTAGATAGTCAGCAGGGAGTTGTGTTGATGATCAACTCCCCAAAGTGTAATTATTTACAATCCTGTGAACATTAACAACAACAGAGAATTATTCATTATTTTGTTTTCAGTACTCTGTTCCTGATCACAAAATGACACATACGTTATTTAGGTGGCTGACTCCATCCACCCAAAACTGAATACAAAGTGTAACAGAAAGTTAAATGTGTAATCAGCTGACATGACGAGTGATGAGAAAGGAAGGAAGGGCAACAGTTTACCATCTATAAACATTTTAGAGAAACAAATACAGAAAAATGCATTATTACAAATACATCACAGACCATAACCAAAATGTTCAAGTTGTGTATAGGCATCTTGTTAGTGGGAATAGACCTCTGGAGGTCTCTAGTCCAAACACCACTTGGAGCAGAACTGTCACCAACATGAAATAATTTCAACCATGGCTTGCTAACCACTGTGGATGGAGTATTCACGGAAATTGCACTATGCTCCTGGTTATGAAGTTCCTCCCAAATTTCTAACCTGAACTTCCCCAGTCGTAATCTCCAAGTTAGAGTTCCTCTAACTCTTTGTTTCTGTTTCGTCACACCAAACAAGCCCAGCTTTGGCAATCACTCCTCACAGAACACCTGTTTTAGGCCTCTTACCATCATTAGACCCTTTTCAGCTTCTCAGGTCAGGTTGGATAGGGCTCTGAAGCAAACTGATCTAGTTGAAGATGTCCTTGCTCATTGCAGAGGGGTTGGACTAGATGACCTTTAAAAGTCACTTCCAACTCAAAGTATTCTATGTTTCTATGATTCTCAGTGTCTTTCTTGAATTGGGGACTTTTTTAGGAGCCCAAAAGAGCAACAAAACCTCAAAACCAAACACAAAACATGGAAAAAACAGGAAAAACCATACAAAGTCACATTTCTGTTGTGAATCTACTTTCAAAATAGTCTATGAGGATTTAATAGCTTATTCATTAACTTTTAAACAAACATATATACTCATAACAATCTGTAGCACATAATAATTCTAGGAAACAAAGACTGTCAGCAAAACCGAGATTGCATTACACCTCTTTTCCACTTTAGTTACGGCACCTAACAAATCTAAGCCATTGTTCAAAGTGCTGGCAGGTTCTGTCACCCTTGAGCAAGAATCTCTTAAAATTTAATCTAGGTCAGTACCAGCTACTCCATCCTCCCGGACTTCTCCATCTTCCATCAAATGGACAATGGGGAGCACTGCTGCACAGATGCATGCTGGAAACACAGCTTGAGGTGGCTGTGGCATGTGATGGTTTGGAGTATGCTCTGTAGTATGTTCTTCATCTGGAGCAGTAAGAAGAGTAGAAGGTGAGTGTTAGAGAATAGGTTGTGGTATTATTCAGGTAGGCTAGACAAACATTTATGTTAGGTGCTGTACATACAGAACAAAATGATAGCCTCTCTGATCACTGTGTAAGCACGGCAGGTTTACTTCTATATCTAAGAAAAAACTGAGCCTGCAGCCAACTTCTTGATCAAGAATTTTCATTGGAAATATATATTTTTTCAATTTACTTTTGTCTTCTTGTAGGGAACCCATTTCCTTTTTGATGAAATCCCAATTCACTGCCATTTTTCAGCCAGAGTGCTCTCCATAGCACTACTCTGTAGCAGGGCAGAAATAAATGATAAAAGTGTCTCAAGTTTGGGAACACACATTCAGCAAAAGGAAATGCCATCAGCTTTATGGGTCAACAGCAAAGGCTTCTAGTGAACAAAATCCTAGGAAAGGATACTCCAAAGGGAAGTCAACCCACCTTCTGCACTGACTGCTGACCGCACTGACCAGACAGAGCCACGGCGGAAAGAATAGTTCCTATGAGATGTACTGGAGGTGCAGGAAGGACTCACAGAGAGACGGCGGGAGGCCAGGTTGGCAACTTCTTCTACTGACAAAGAGAACAGGAAACGTCAATCCAGATCCAGCTGACAGACCTCAGGGAATTTTCTGAAGGACAGCACTTACAAGCAAATTGGAACATTGAAAATTCAAGTAAGGTAACACTCCAAAGGCACAACTTAAAATCTGTAAAGATCAATCAGATAGGTAATTTGTTCATGCTTTGGGAATTAGCAGAGCATTGTTCCATAAGAGTGTTCAGTGCTTTGGTGAGTCACATTGCAACTGAGTTGGCTCTATACTTTTCAGCTACATCCTGTTAACCATCATGATTGCTATAGTCCTTAGTTTTTCCTAAGAACTGGGATTTCTGCTCGCAGATTTCCTAATATATGTTTAGAACTGAACATCACTGTGCTCACTTAGTGACACATACCTTGAAATGCCTTTAATGAAATCTTTGTGCTCTGTTAGCATGGACCAATGAAAATCCTTACCCAAAAGCTAAGCTTTTCATGACTCATGTCATGTAACTTTGGCCATCTAAAACTTTGGTACTGAGGTTGAGCTGGTCATCTGCTAGTCACCATAATGGTAGAAAACCCCAGAGGCAATTCAGCCTATGCCAAGTTATGTGTCTTAAGACAGATACTGCCAAAGGGTGATTCCTCCCACCCTTTAATTATTAAAAGGTTAAAGTTAGGAAAGACAAATTTCATTTCTACTGCCTCATATTCTCATTGTGTAAAATGCTGCAAGATGCTAGGAGTTTTGAGATGTTAAATGCTGGGACGTTCCACTGAAGTCGGGGGGAGAGGGGTGAGGACTTTCAGGTCACACAGTGAGCACTCAATACGTACAAGGTTTTGTGGTTTTCTTGCACTAATTTTTAATTACACTTTTTCTCAATAACTTGGACTCTTCAACAAATGGATGTGGTTTTGACTTTTCTAACACTAAGAGTCAATGTTCCTGGACATCACACCCCTAAGCAGTGCTCTGTGTTGGTGGCAGGTGCTCTCAGGTTCCTGGAATGCAATTCCTGGAGCACACCTTCTTCTTCCTGCTCTGAGCTTGGTGTACATGTTGGCTCATAGCAGGCTTCCTGAGTGATGGGGATGGCAGTGATGAGACTGGCTTCCCGGCCCAGGCGCTTCTTCTCTTCCTCCTGCTGCAGGTTCTTCAGGATGTGCTCTGCTCGCTGATGGGAACGCGATACAGCTCTGGCTGAAAATGACTTCTGTCAGGAAGAAAACAGAAGAAACACAGTCTGAAGCTGTTAGTTAAGATGCACACATCCTGTGAGACCTCAGTGACACTCAGTCACTCAGTTTCTAAATACAAATCAGACTAATGCTAGCTGAACAGAGATTCACAAGGAGACTCCTCTTGGAGCTATGTCTACAATAAGCCTTGGTGCAGACTTTTCCCAAGAGACACCATATGAACCAGTGCAGAGCAAATGGTCTGTCAGGCACTTCAAGTGAATTAATATTCTCTGGGAGAGAGAACAGCTGTGTGCTGCTAAGATCCGAGTTACTCTATCTCATAGGGATATGATATGCAGTACAGCACCTCAGTGAACAAACAGAAAAGCTTTATGCCCATGTAGAAAATTCTGTGTGCCCTACACAGACAGTGTATGAGATTTTTCCCAGCTGAGGAAGACAAGAAAACTTTGAGTTTAGCCCACATTTTTGGGTTTAGCTTTGCCAGTGCCGCTACAGAATAAAAACAGTGCTTACTCTCATGATGGCTTACCGACTGATCTTCATTTATAGGATCTTGCACGCTCCCACTGCACTGAGGGACCCAGGGAGGGTCAAACATGGGAACAGATGGCATCCCCAGGACAGGAGAAGGCAGAGTGAAGTTTATACTTGGAGGAGGGATCTAACAAAATGATGAAAGACATTTTGTTACAGAAGACTATGTTGGTACTGCTAATTAAACATGAGCACAAGTACCCAAGACATTAATTACCTCTGCAAATTTTTACCAACTCCATATCTCACTACACTGTAACACCATGTATGACACAGTTTTCTTTCTTCCTCAGATGTTTTTGCTGACCTCTGTCCCTGTTACACTCTCCCCATTTTATACAGTTTTACACATCACCTCCCCCACTAGTGTGACTTACACAACCATTTTTTTTCCTCTAAACAGATTTTCACGCAATTTCATGGCAGCATGTCATTACACATCTATCCCACAAGGCAAGCTATAAATGGCAACTTTGTGTTTCACATGTGCTATCTACCTTAAAGATCTGCTGTGCGCCCTCTTCCATCCTTGGCCAGACTTGATACCTAAATCTCCAGAGCGTGTGAAATTTGAGAATGGCATTCAGTCTTTGCACTGTCTCTGGGTGATGAAATTCGGACATCAGCATGTCGGAAACGGCCTCTGGCACTTTCACAGCACACAGCAGGAACATGGCAGCTGCAGGGAGAGAACATCGGCTCATCTGGTTTCCTTAGTAATGTGTTTGTTTGGCAGAGAAAGATTGCAGCTGTACAAACCCCCACCAAAAGAAACCTAATCTTGGCTCCAGAAATGAGATCAGCAGTCTACCAGACCTAGCAAAAATTATACTTCTTCATGAAGCCAAGCACGTGTTATTCCACCTTTTGGAGCCACACAGCATTTCATGTGATGCTTGTAAAAGGTTCTGGAAAACCTGCTTTTAAAATAAAATACAGCTTTGCTCTTCTCACTAAAATCTCAGTCATGACTGGTTTAAAATGAGAAGCATCTCTTGATGTAACAGGAGTAATTCAGTTTGGCTTGCAAAGATTCCACTTTCAAGCGATTTCTGTGATGACTAGTAAAGGCTGGTTTACCAGAAGCTAAGCCTTCCCCTCAGAGCAGGAGGCAGTGCCCCAGTAGAGGTCTAGCCTGTCTATTTTCATGGATAAAACCAAAAAGAAAGGTTCTTAGTTAAATGGGAGCCATGCAATGATCACAGTCTGCTTCCAAGAGAAAAAAGAGTTGCTATGAATTGAGAGACAAAGGACCAGACCACAACAGAAAACAGCGCAATGGAAATTGAGCTGGCCCATAGCTGTTTCATTGGAGCATATTTGAATATAAACAGACATAGTCCAATTCCAGACAATGCAGACCAATAAATTTAGATGTGTATCTGAGGGGCATTGAGCAGGAAACAAAAACGAGGAACAGTGTTGCTAAGGGAGTTCAGTGGGTGTCAGAGAGCCCATGGCTTCTTTGACCAGTAGCTCACCACAGATTGCTGGAGACAATTTCTCTAGATTTGGTGGCTGTTCCTCCACAGCATAGAATCATAGAATCATTAAGGTTGGAACAGACCTCTAAGATCATGAAGTCCAACCGTCCACCCAACACCACTATGTCTGCTAAACCACGTCCTGAAGCGCCGTATCTACACACAGAAAGAGGACATTTGTCATCGTGTTTGCCTCAGCACTCATTCAGAAGGTGCCAAGCAGGAGAGCTGTACTGATTGGAAGCAGTCTGAACATCTGCAGAAAAACAAGTCTGCTCTTTGCCTAGGTCCTGCCTTGCACTGCGAAGGCTCCTGTTCCTGCTCTAAAGTCCTGCTCCAAATCTGTAGGGACCCTTCTGTTTCACCAGCTCGGAAAACTGTCTACTCTTTGGTCTTTTCAATGTTACTATGTCAAGTCTTAGTAGGACTGATTTAAAAATGTGAGGTCCAACGGACGTAACCAAAAAAAGAAAAACAATCTTGGAAGGGGTCAGTAGGTGGTACTGTTGTACATTAACACAGGAGTTCAGGAACGCAGTTTATGCTGGGGCTGAAATCACTCTTGCTACTGAAAAAACTACTACAGGCCTTCGAATGGGTTTTAATCCTTCTTTCAGGAAAGGGAGAAGGAGGAAGACGTAACTCGGAGGCTGCTCCTCCTCAGGAAGAGCTGCAAAGCTTTATTCCCTCACCTGTGAACCACGCTAAGTTTTTGATAAGAGAGAAATAGTATCCAAAATTAGTTCCCCCAGAAAGGGACTTGAAGTGCATTTGAGTGCAGTTTCAGGCAGCTTATTTTCTTTGTTTTGCTCCTTTCTCTTCGTGTCTGCACATTTGGCCTGGGAAAAGCAAAGGTGAAGGGGAGAGTACAGAGAGGACCGGTGGGCTGAAGAAGTGCACTGTACACTGGTGAAGAACGTGATGTGGAGTTAAACAGTGGACTTCAGGGCAGAATTTACTGGCAGTTGTGGAAAATGAAGGACTGGTAAGCGAGACTGAAGCGTGGCAAAAAGGGGGGGAGATGCCTGAGGAGCACTTCAAAACTGTTGCATTGTTAGCAGCTTCTAATAAATGTCTGTAATTTAATCTCCAGTGTAAGGACACCTATGATGGCTCGCTTAGGTGTGCAAATCTATGGAAGATGGCAATCTTTAAACCATTTCCTTGGGTGCTGGAGGAGGAGAAAGGTAGAATTTGAAAGTTGTGGGAGGTTGACTTACAAACAAATTTGATTAATTTATGCTTTGTTTAAGCAATCTCTGTGTTGTGTGTGAGGGTTGGCCACATTTTCTAGGGTTGTGGCTCATGACTTCTGAACATCTGGCATTGGCACACACTGGCTATGAGTGTTTGAACAGGACAGTAAGACTAGAAGTGTCCTCCTGAGTCTCATAATCTAATTCCTTTCACAAACTCTTCAATCTGAGTGCATTTTCTCTCTTTTCTGGTGGTTAGAAATATTGTGTTGTCCAGGTGAAAGAAGTCATAAAGAGTTCATACTCATCTTCATGCTACCAGTGTTTAAAAAATTCTTCCCCCTTGCCTAGTCTGCTGTATTCATGGATAGTAACAGTATCCCCTCTCAGTATTCACCTGAATCCATTAAATAATATCCTCCTCGTGTAAGCTCTTCATTCTTCCTCCTGTCCTAACAGTCTGTACCTGTCCCATGTAAATGTGTCTTTGATCAGTGACCAGAATTGTGCATGGATGTGCTGTGTTCTAGGTAATTGTACAATGTGCTTTACAACAGTATTAATACTTTGAATCTCTAATGAGATACCTCTTCTGACATATCCTGACTGTATTTATTGTTCCCACAACTGAATTCTACTCGGGAAGTCAGTCGTCTTCCGGCCGACTGATATATTCTGAATTCCTCCAAACCTATATCAGTTCCATGGGAGAAGATCAAAGCTCATAACAGAACAATTCTTCTTACTAATTTGCAAAGACATAATCTTACACTTTGTAGTAATAAATTTCATCCCATGTCTGAAATTCCTTTTTCAAAGTAATACTCTCACAGGTATATGATGTTCTAATCTCTTCTGTCTTAAAGATACCTCTCAACTATTTGTTATCAGAAAATGTCATCTGCACAATTTAATACCAAGTACAAATGGAAAATGTAGATAACATAGCATAAGACTACTCATTGAGCAATGCTGCTGTCTCCATGCAACATGAGAATTTTCCTTTTAGCACAACACAGGAGCTGTGACAGTTCTACTCTCATCCTGGACAGGTGACATGTTTTCTCTGCTTAGAAACCCAGATAAACACAAATACTAATTTTGATGCTCTCTAATCATCCACCACAACCAGGGTCTGAGTGATTGCCTTCCTGATCCTTCTGACCACCTCTTTCGTACAGAGCAAAAAAACACATGAAGGTCTATGGAAACCAAACAGCCCCCAAGAAACCCTTTCTGTCATTAAGACTCATCCACTACAAAGCTGTCTTTGCAAGGCCCTGTGATTTACTGTGAGCTGTGCAGCCATGGTAGCCGTACTAATAAGTTTTGTTCTCTTACCTGCTGCTCCAGCCATGTGCTCATCCACACTGAGCAGGAGCTCCCACGCTGCTGGCTGGATGTCCCCATACATCTCCTCCGTGAGGACAGGAGCTGCCTTGATTAGCAGTGACAAAGGTGCAGGGGAGAGGCTCATTACCTGTAAAAAAACAAGCCGTGCCTTACAGCTGAGCTGTGCAAACCATCCACAGCGAACAACACGCTCAGCAATTTTGTCCTAGTTTTGGTCTGCATATTACCCACTGATAACTTCTGGTTTCAGCCATTTCAGACAACGTTCTGTAGAACGATGCTTTCAGCCTACACTGAAAGAGCAATGTTTGCAAGCTAGTTCCGCGAGTCTGTTGCTAGTCACTCAAGTCACCAAAACACTGACAAAGAGGACAGAAGGAAAGCCAAGCTCTCCCAAGCTGGTGTACAAACAGTAATATAGATCCGTTAAAATCTCACAGACTGCCAAGGACAGGCCTGTGAAGAGCTTATTGCTTCTTCAGGAACACTGAACAAAAATGAACCAAGAAAACTATTGCTGTAAACTGACAGGTTGTATTTAAACACATTTGTGGATTTTAATTTTTTTTTAATTTTTTTGTATCCCCAGTTTTGATGCATGTACCACTGTGGAAAGCCAGAGATGCAGACTGTGATTTAATGGAGCTACATGTTTAAAGGATTCTTTCATGGGGTTACCCTAAGAGGCTTAGATTTAGCATTACTCAGCTGGGGAAAATACACAGGGTTGAACTGTCTGATATTCAGGAACAACAGTTCTTCCCATGGGCTGAAAGATCCGTATACATTTTCCTTCATGTTGCAGTCTAACCTGACATTTATGTATCAGCTTCCCTAAGTAGTATATGGCCTAGCGAGTACCTGCTGCCTGATGTATTTCAGCATTCCAGAGTCCTTCTTCCCATCCAAGTTGATATCAATCACTCTCTTTTTTAGAGAAGGAGTTCTCAAACATGACTTGTCTGAGCACTGAAAGGAAAAAAAAAAAAAAAAGTGGAGTTGACATTTAGATTTCCCAAAATGTGGAAAGGGAGGAGGTCATATACAACAGGAATTTTCATACACTAGGAGCTATCTAGTGTCAGAGTTGTAGCATGTAGCACAGAGCCTTCTCCTGTGCTGGCAACATGCCTAGTATCAGTGAGATGACATATCTCATCCAATTTTCTTCTCTTTTTAACAATGTTTTTCCCAATAAAAGCTTAAGGCAGAAGCCAGTAAACCAAATGAGGAATGTGAACGTGTTCTGTGTAATCTTCACAGGTGGCACAGCCATGTATTTCAGAACAGTATTTTAAGCACGTTAGAGGTAAAAAGTCTATAGCTTCCCTCTAAAAAATTACCAACAGAGGTGTTTAGTGTATACAACACTGATTCCTCTCAGCTACATTTATCTTTCCTTTCTCAGAAAGCAGAAGTGCCAACACATTTCAGGACTTGAGCTCATGCCTGCCTGAGAGTTGTCCCTAGCAGATTGCCAGTGACAGTGATAATGACAAGTCCTTTTTATGTTTGCTATTCATAATACCAAGAACTTTTCCCAGAATGCTAGGTTGCCACAGACTCTTCTCCTCAAGCTGGTAGCCTGCTGATTAACACAGCAGTCCTCGTTTATCAGAGCTCACAAGCCCCATGGAGCACATACCCGGGTTTGCACACTGTGCTTACCTCCATCCTTTCATTCTGCAAGCTGTGAGAGTTAAAAAGAGATTCGTCTGGAACCCAGATAAATGTGCAAATGGTGCCCATGCAGTCAGAGAATGACATCACTTGGAGAATACCAGAGCATGAGGAATCGTGATGAAAAGTCTACTGTTACATAAAATTCAGAAGTCAAGAGAAATGATGGAGTGTGGTTCTGTGAAGCGGACTGAAGGAACTGACCAGGACTGCCAAGCTTGCGAGCCAGCAGGTAAAAGGTAATTCCGGCAGGGGGAGATCACGACCACCGACTCACAGACCCCCTACTCAAGTAATACCACCTACTCAAAAAGGAACAATAGAAGAG